CCCATTTTTAAGGGCAGGGGGAAAAAAAAACACCTGACTATTTTCAAATTGGTTTCACATTTTATGCTTCAAGAACTAAGTGAAAAGAGCATCTTGCCCCAAGGTTATCCTTCTCTTTTCATCAGCATTTTGATTAAAGCTCATCATGGGTTTTTTCCCCCTTTCTTTCTTTCAATGGAGTGGACCATTGAAATCTCTTCAGACTGGAACTAGTATTTAATAAGAACCAGCTTCTGTCAGATTTTCTTTTTTCCTGTAATGCTCCCCACACTTTCTTCTGTCAGTCTGATACTTCTGTGATCATTACTATTTAGCAAGCTGTAGTTATGGACAGGGTCCATTAACTAATCAGAAAATGTGGAACCATCTAAGATGTTATCCACTTCATATTTTGCAAATATGAAGAAAAAGAAAGCTCTGGTTCTAAGGATTGGCAATAGGAGGAGTACACATGATGTGTTTATCCTGTGGACCAGTGATGAAATCTGGCCGGATCTACCCGGCTTGTGAGAACCGGTAGCGCCAACAGCGGGAGGCTCCACCCACCCACCTGGATGTCATTACGTCCCATTTTTGACTCTCTGTGCATGCGCAGAAGTGGCACGCATGCTCACATTCCCGAACTGGTAGCAAAGGTAAGTGCATTTCACCACTGCTGTGGACAAGATGTAGACAGAAAATGTTTCTGTCACTTCTTATCTAATTGCATCAATGTCTACATTAATGGTACAACTGGTGTGGCAACTATATTTACTATAATTGAACCTGTAGTGATTTGTAAAATATTAATACAGAAGATATTGAGCAATGATTTATAGTGAGGTGACCCCATCTTGCCTGTGAGTTGGAGATAATGGAACTATCTCCTCTCCATGGCTTTTAGGTTATTAAGGAAGTTTTTCTTAAATAATTCCTGAAGAGTACAACTAGAAGTGGGAGAAACAGGTTGTTTCTTTCTTGTACCTTTTCTATTCCCTACCAAGCAGAATATAATTCTGTTAAAGAATATGAAATCCTGTCACTTTCCACATATTCCTGTCCAAGAAGAACATTAAGAATCACTTTGAAGTCCTGAACTTCATTGATAAATAACCAGAAGAATTATGGAGTAAACATAAATCAATAATGAAGGATGAATATGAAAAGAGGTTGCCATAAATGAAGAAAGAGAGAAAAACAAACTCGATGTAAGAACAAGCTACGGAAATTGTCAGGAAGAGAAGTCAAAGCCAAGAAAGACACAAATCTCAGAAGGGAATTGAACAAAAAGTTTCAGAGAGCTGTTAAATGTGACAAGAAGCAGCATTATATTATAATTAGCAACATTATAATGATATTGAAAGTGGAAAGAGACATGAAAAATCGAGGAATGTTTTTCAAAAGAACTTCAGCAGAAGAGCTCAAAAGGAGGTTCCAACTCAAATTGCTATGTTCAAAGGTGCCAATGGACAGACAGTAACCAATTCAAAGGAGATCATACTAAGATGGAAGGAGTTATCTTAAAACTCTGGCCATAGATGAGAGGGCAATCTATATTCTAATACCAAAAAAAGGGAGTCTTAAACACAGTGTGTGAAAACTATCACATTATATCCTTAAATTCACAAGCTAGCAAAATAATGGCAACAATCATCCAATGCAGATTAGACTCTACATAGAAAAAGAGATGCCAGATGTTCAAGCTGGTATTAAAAAAGGCGAAGAAACACAGGTTATCATTGCTGATGCACACCGGATAATTGAGTAAGCCAAAGAATACAAAAAAAAAAAAAATCACTTCATTGATTATAGAAAAGTATTAGTGCCAATTACATCAAGCTGTGCAATTCCCATTCAGAAAAATGGGAATTGCAAAAAATCTCATTGTCTTCATGAGAAGCTTTTATACAGGAAGCCAAACAATAGGCACAGCATGGTGAAACAGACTAGTTCCAGGCTGGCAAAAGAGACAAGACTGTTTACCCTCCCCTTATTTATTCAACCTAGATAACTGAAGCTAGATTGGAAAAAGACGAGCATGGTTTTAAAATTAGAGGGAGAAACATCAATAGTCTGTGCTATGATGATTGCACTACTTTGAGAGCTGAAAATACAAGGATCTGCAAGTTGACTTAACTTTCCTAAGTTAAGGAGCACCATGAAAAAAAAATTGGACAAACTACAAAGAAGACCAAAATAATAACAGACAGAACAATCAGTCTTAGAATTTACAATGAAGATATTGAAGTAGATAGCTTCTCCCTTTTAGGATGCAGGTTTTGACTAACTTTTTGTATTTGTTTCTTCTATGACTGGTAAACTCTTGTGCTAGAGCTTTTTCTGAAATCCACCAATCACAGTTTTCTGATCCCAAATGAAGTGATCCTAAGGAAAACCATACTTCCCCTGACCAATATGTTCAACATGCTTATCACCCACATAATGATATCTAGGAAATATGTAGAGTAAGGATGGGGGAGTTGAAATGTAGTCAAATGGTAGAATGAAACATACACAGATAGTAAATGTGTTTTCAAATAATGGCAGGAAAAATCATGGCTGGTGAACCTTTGATTAGGTGTTGCTGCATTATAGCTCTCAAGGATTTTAGTCATTACGGACATGATGAGCTTTATGAAAGATTCTTTTAGAGTGCACTGAGCATACCACATCTTAGATTAAAATTTTACATAGGACTTTATTAAGCATCCAAGTTCCCCAATATATCACTGTGTTAAATCCAACTTCCTAGGACCAGTGAGTTGGCTGAGCCTATAAACAAGTCTTTGGGGTTCAGTGGAATGCAGTCTTTATTTCCGTCTAAAGGTTTTGCTTTTGTTGGAGATTATGTGAGTTGTCTGGAGATTTGTTGGGGATTATATGATGCCTCCCTACATAACTACAGTTGCACAGGAAAATTGCTCTCAATCTCTAAACTCAGCTCCAAGTTAATATTGCTGTGGAGCACTAAGCTGAGCTCCCAAGTGAAGCTCCAGGAATGGATCAAGCAGGCTTGGCCACTTACTGTGGTTTGTGGTCCTGGCAGCTAAATGTCAGTCCTGTTCCTTGACTATAGATCTTGAAGTTGATCAAATGTCACTTCGCAATTGTTTCTCTGTTTACTTGCTTTCAATTCCTCTTGCCTGCCCATAACCTTCTGGTGTGGCTTCCCTTTTCTAGGTTGAGGGCATGGGTTGAATAAGTTGACTCCCTCTGGATGTGGCAAATCCTTGGAAAGCCCAGTGTAAGGCTAAATTAGCTAGCAGTGGATGCTATTATGCCAGTCAAGTAATTGGATGTAGCCAATCAGCTGGCCACATTGGTGTAGATAACTGAGTGAAGAGTCTAGCTGCCTGGTCTGCCTCTTTCAGCAGTTGTGGGGTAGGGGTGTGATGGGGATGGGCTTGAGAGTTTTCCCTTCAAGAGAAAAGACTTGGTGGGAGTCTTGGGGGAATGAGTCAAGTCTAGTCCTGGGAATGGGGAGGGATCTGTTTATACCTGGCAGCAGCTGCTCAAAACAGTGTTTTCAGTATTGCTTTTTCGAAGCACAGAGGATACTTTAAATCCCCACCCCACCCCCATATTGTCATTTAGCAAAACTGGGCCACAAATAGCCCATTACTTTTCTATTCATGATATTTCTATTCAAATATCATATTTGTTATGTTATAATAACTACAACGTGTGCATAGTCCCTTGATCACAAACTTTGTGAAATTTTCAAGGGAATACATTTTTTTTTTTTAAAAAGGAGATATTCTGTAAATATAGAAAACTACATGTAAGACAGATCTGTTTAAAACACACTTTATATGGCAGAAATGAACCTGTATAGTGGTTAAGTTGCTGGCTGGTAAACCACTAAGAGATTTTGGGCCAGTAGTTGTTTCTGAAGCCAACATATTTCACAAGGGTTATTTTGGCTGGAAATGTTAAAATAAGAATCTCTACTTATGTCTCTCTGTCCTTCTGGAAGAAAGATGGTCCTGGAAAAAAAATAAGAACCCAACAGTGGCAGTTCAGTGGTGAGAAAGTCTTACACTTAGGAGGAAAAACCAAATGCATAGGTACTTGCCTCAACAGTAGAAACTGTGAGAGAGATCTAGGTGTGTCCTACTAGACTAGGGGTGGGGAACTATGGTGCCTTTATGACCTGTGGACTTCAACTCTCAGAATTCCTGAGCTAGCATGGAACCAGAGTACCATCACTGGATGTTTTCAAAAACAGACTGGAAAACTATTTGACTGGGCTGGTATAAAGTCTCCTGCTTTGAGCAGGAGAAATGAATGGTAGCTCAGGAGTCAATGGTTTTGCCTCTGACTCATGTCCATTCTTTCAGGACAATTATATTATTTCCTCAGCCCCAAAACAGATTTCTATACTGGAACTTCCATAACACAGCTAGTTGTATAGAAATGTAACTGTCAAAACAAGAAACATATTAAGCCTAATAGAAACTCTGAATGCAAGGGAAATTTCATGAATGAACATTAAAACTTTTGAAAATGCTCAAGTGTTGTTTAGTTTTATGGTTCATGTGATACTGAAGAGCAGCAGGAACATCTTCCCTAGTTATTCTGGCCCTTTGGGTCATAATGCAAAAGTCATCATAAAATGTACGCTCACTTATGAGTGCTTCAAAGGTCAGACCGAGGTTAGTGATTTGGAAGTGAAAAGCACATTTGCCTTTTTAAAACTTGTATGTTATAGGGACAAAACTCCTCTCATTATGCCCAAAGTTAGAAACATAAACATTTTATTTTTCAAAGAAAAGATACACTGTTGTTCTTATGTACTGGAGAGAGTTCTGAAGTGTTTTAACTTCTGGTACTCAGCCCTGAGTTCCTGTGAATTCCATTCTGTTTGAAGTAGAAAATGGCTCTCTTCTGTAATTGAAAAATATTTGCTGTCTTCTTCTCTCCGTCTACAAGTTTTATCCTCCACTGCACAGATCCCTGTTGATGGATCTCAGACATTACGAATGACAACCATGCTGCTTTCCTAAGCATTATTTTTTTTATTTTCTTTCTTTGTTAAGTTAAAGAGATTGGTGACCTCAATATATCTGCAAATATGGAGCATAAAAATGATTTTCAATAGAAATGACATGTTAAATTTAGATAAAAGCATTATAATTTTGAAATATGTTTCAGAAACAGTAAAAGTATTAAGGTTTTGAGTTCCGTAGTTGTGAAGTTGGCTTTTAGATTCTCAATTCCAGAGACTGTCTCTATCTATCCATTTTTCTCATCTAATATCTATCTATCCATCTATCTCATCTTATATCTATCTATCTATCTATCTATCTATCTATCTATCTATCTATCTATCTATCTATCTATCTATCTATCTATCTATCATCTATCTATTTCTAACTTTATATCTATCTATCTATTTATCTATCTATCATCTATCTATCTATCATCTATCTCTAACTTTATATCTATCTATCTATTTATCTATCTATCTATCATCTATCTATCATCTATCTCTAACTTTATATCTATCTATCTATCTATCTATCTATCTATCATCTATCTATCTCTAACTTTATATCTATCTATCTATCTATCTATTTATCTATCTATCTATCTATCTATTTATCTATCATCTATCTATCTCTAACTTTATATCTATCTATCTATCTATCTATCTATCTATCTATCTATCTATCTAATCGGTATCTATCATTTATTGTCCATATATCTTCATCTATCGAATATGGATATGATTCTCCTCACCACTGCCATCCTTTTAGACTTCAAAGTGAATGTAAATGTAGAAAAGAATTATATATAAGAGAATTGTCAGCTGCTTCTTTTGTTCTTTTGATAAAATACCTCTAGCTGCATAATTATGAAGATAATGAAAATTTACCTTGTTGCATATAAAATTATATTTGCTAACATAGATGAATAAAAATTCTTAATTTAGCATTAATTCTGATACATGCTTTCGAGTGTCACAATTATAACTTGATATGGTGTGTTTGTGTAAATGGGTGTACATGTGTGCGTGTGCCTGCAGAAAAGTCTGCATGCAGAGGAAAACTTCATCTCATTTGCTTTTTTAATTTAAAATAGGCTACATAAGTATACATTTGAAAAATTCTTTTTTAAAAAGAATGTCTAACATTCAAAATTGCTCTGAGTTTGATCCATATACAGTAAAAGGAAAAACAGAAACACGTAGTAGTGCAATAAAAGTTTTTGTCCCCAAAGTGTTTTTTCAAGAGTTAACTGGACTTTCTGGTTTTTCTTTGAAGACGTTTTCCTTCTCATCCAAGAAACTTCTTCAGCTCTGACTGGGTGGTGGGGAATAGAAGGATCCAGTCAGAGCCGAAGAAGCTTCTTGGATGAGAAGTTTTCAAAAGAAAAACAAGAAAGTCCAGTTGCCTCTTGAAAAAGCACCTTTGGGACAATCATGACCTGGATGATTGATTCCTCCATAGACAATAAAAGCTTTTATTTTCTGGAAATGTAGCTTCCTATGGTTGTGCAGATCTTAGTTTCCTTATATAATATTTTTTATTGAAGTTTATAGTTATAAAGATTTAAAAAACTAATACAAATTAAGAAAAATATAAAAAAGAGAAAACAAAGCAAAAATACTATGGAGGGAAAAAAGAGAAATAAAAGAGAAAAAGTGTGTGTGTATGTGTATGTGTGTGTGTGTGTATGTGTGTGTGTGTGTGTGTATATATATATATATATATATGTATGTATGTATGTATGTATGTATGTATGTATGTATGTATATGTAGGTCTTTGGTTATTCGGGTTTTCTCCCGCATAAAATTGGAAGTGTCTTGGCTGACACCCACCATGAAGATGTGGCACAACCACGAACGCGAAGCCAAACAACAGTAGCGCAGCTCACTAGCTCAAATCCCCCTGCAACTCAGACTAACCCGTGGCATTTTTCGAAAACTTGACAACCCAAGCACAACCAAGCCCCCACCCAAACAGAACACACCTCCATCCAATCAAAGCACAGCCAACCCCCCATCCAATCAGAGCACAGCCAAGCCCCCATCCAATCAGGACACACCTCCACCAAATCAGAACACAGCCAAGCTCCCACCCAATCAGTTCACACCCCCACTAGCAGTTAAAAGGAAAAAACAGCTGCAATCACACATTGCTTCTAGAAGCACAAAGCCGAAAACACCATCCTGAAGATGGCGAATGAGACTTTGTCGAAACGTTGCCAAGACACTTCCAATTTTACACAGGAGAAAACCTGAATAACCAAAGACCTACATACCTACATATATATCTTATATACAGTATATAACTTACCATTTTACTTAATACTACAGAAAAAGATATTTTTCTTTTATTTATAAATAAAACCTTAGAGCCTCATCATTTGGTCCTAATTAGCAAAAGTCCATTAAGAGTTACTAGAAATAACACATATAATTTAATGCTGATCAAATAAACCAACTCTATATAGCTTTCTTTTACTTTTAACAATATAAAATATCTTTAAATAATTTAAATCTCTTTAAATAGAGCCCCAGAAATTGGTTTCTTTTCATTTTCTCTTTGTTTCTTAGAAAATGCTTAGAAAATTCTCTTAGAAAAGTCATTATTCTGATTGTTATTTGTATTTAATTATTAAGACATATTCTGGTTTCAACTGTATATCTATTGTAACATATTTTCCATATCATTATTGTAATCTATCATTTTCAAATCCATTTTAAACTGTCTGTCTTAGTTGTGTCCAGTGAAAACTCTTTCTTTTTCTATAACTTCTTTTAAATCCAGTTTTATGATAGCAGACAATCTTAAAATCAATTTCTGAATACGTTGTTCCCAAATATCCTTGAACTCATCCAAAGTTAGAGTACCCCCCCCCAATTTTGTATTAGTGGGTCTTTTTTCCTTTAATTATAATGTTTAATTCTTTCTGGTTCCCTCTAGTGTTTAACCTTCAAAGTCCCATCTTTTTTTTTCAATCAATAGCATTTTCTCATGGAAAGATTTCTTATGCTTAATTAAAACCTTTATATTTTTATAGAATTGTAAATAACAACATTTTACTGCAGGAAGGATTTTTGTAATTTATTTCAAAACCTTTATCTCAAAATCTTATTTCTAATAAATCTGGTCCCCTAGTCTGTTTATAACTTTTCGGAATCAATGTTCTAATCATCCTGCTGCTGTTTATTCGAAAATATTTTTTAAGAACTTAAACTTGCATAAAACTTCTTTTGCTAAGGATTGAAAGAGACTCGCTCAGTGGAATGAAACTTGCCGCTCTTGAAGATTCTATCCAAAAAGCAATTAACTAGCAATTTCCAGAAGTGATTAAGAGAGGAAGTATCCAAACCATGTATCCTTTTGAAGGTGCCATCCATGGCTTGGGCAAAGATGGTGATCCTTCAGCTCCCAGAGCTCTAAAACCAGCCAAAGACCACTGTCTTGCACTCTCTTCATGGGGAGCTACTGTATGGAGCACATGTGGGCATTTTCTAAGTCTCTTCCTTATTCAGAGACAAATGTATTCACCTTATTCATTCACCAGCTCCTTATTTTGCTCAATCAGAGGAATGACTTGCCTCCAGAAGTTGTGGGTGCTTCAACACTGGAGGTTTTTAAGAAGAGATTGGACAACAATTTGTCTGAAATGGTATAGGGGGTTGGACTAGAAGACCTCCAAGGTCCCTCCCAACTCTGTTATGCTATTATTATTTTGCTTCCCTGGAAAGTAGCTGTGCAGATTTTTTAAAAAGGTAAAACACCTGTTTTGGAAGATAGCATGGCTTCTTTGCCCCTAATACAGGAATGAAGTGGTTGCAATACACTACTTTGCCTCTTCTCTCTTCTGAATCCACTCCCAGGTCATTCTAGTAGCTGCTTTTCTGTAGATGTATTATTGGAATGGTCAGTTAAGGCTTCACGGCAATATGAAGTGCCTTGTCAAGGAAAATCATGTTGCCTTATTATCTAAGAGAGAAGAATTCCATCGCTGTTGTGATCCAAAGGGCCTCATCAAGGCATGGCCAAGCTTCCTCTCACAGGCCAGTTGCTGGTGGTTATAGTAAACCTGTTTATAATGTTGGAAAGTTTTCATCTCTCAGGCTTACAGCTGGAAAAATTATAGAAATCTACAAAAACAATTCAAACAGTGAAAACAGCAATTAACTCACATGAAATAAAACGTCTGCAAAATCTAGCAGCAGGAGACTGGGTACTAATTTTCTGGAAGAAACACTGTGTGAACATGGGTGTAATTTTATTTATCTTTTTCTTGCAATTCAACCCTAGCCTTTCTTTTAATAGAGTGAAATTGATTTATAAATAGTAAATTGGCATGCAATAAAATAACAGTTTTGCGGTCTAAGCAATATATTTACAACACAACTCAGTAACTAGCAGATGCAATGTAGCTAAATATTTCTTAAAAGCAGTAATCTGGAAAAGGCCAATAGCATAAAATTTTCTCTTTGTTGCCAAAAAAAAAAAAAAACCTACCCAAAATGAAAACAGACCCCCCCCAAAACAAAACAAAACAAAAACAAACCATCAACAAAACCCAGCACTGAAGAAGCCGGATTTAACTCACTAAAGCAGAAGAAAACAGGGTTTCCGGGCATCCTGTCACACCTGACTTGAATTCTTTAAAGATCTTTCCAATTAAAAAAGTGAAAATATGACAAATAACAAAGAAAAGCACTAGCCTCCAGCATTGTTTTTATTTAATGATTTGGGACCCAGCTAAGTCTCATGCAGATTCCATGGAAATAAAAATGCTGAATCACTAGTGCTTACCTTCTCCAAAAAGTATACAGTAATCATAAAAGGTATTGGGACTTGGCAAGCAAAACCTGGCCTATTAATCAAGGGGTCTTTTTGAATTCCTCACACTCACTATAGGTTTTCCCCCATGATGCTATGGGGCTGTGCTTTTCTTCATCCCCAAAATCAGTCTCCCACGAGGGCAAGGTATGAAGCTAAAGTTCACGAAGAAAAGAAGAGCAAGGAGGTTGAAAGATCCCTGCTTCTAGAGAAGAGGAAAACTATACTGTTCTCTTTCCAGGTTGTTCTTCTCTCTGGCAAGTCAATCTGTTTTCTGAAAAGGAGAAAAGAAAGAAGAAAAAGGGATCATTTGGTAGGAGGTAGCACAGATGTTATTGGTAGGAATAGCAACTTCATGGAATATTGTCCACGAGATTACTATTCCCATTTGGCTGGAAGAGAGGCAACCAGATTTTTGATGACCTGTTTTCTCCAGCAACCAAAACAGAAATGGCCCTGAGGCTTTATGCCTATTGGGAGGGATAGTCTTATAGCAGGCCAGTTGGAGTCCTGCCAGTCGCCTACTCTTTCAGGCATCCAAATATTTGCAGAGGAAGCTGTGTTGTATGTTCCAATGGAAAAGATTGTTTTCCAGCTGCATCCCTGTTGCTGAGTTGAAGGCACTGCTACATTACAAGGACAGATACTTAAAAAATAAGTTATCTTGATACTAGGATAATATTGATATTGATAACATTTAGCAATAGAAAAATGCCCTATGGTTTTTAAAGAACATATGGTATATACTGAAATGTCCAAATATGCCCAGTGATCTCACCCCCCCAAACTTAGTTAGTGTCCAGCTAAGAAGTCTGTTCCAGATTTGGGGGTCTAATACCAAAATTGTTCCAATACACATTCGTGTATGGACATTTTTAATTAATTGGATTGAATTTTAGCATTGTAGCAGGAGCGGGTTCTACTTACCTTTACTACCGGTTCGCAACAGGAGCACGTAAACACAGTTGATTTGCTTGTGTGTGCTTCTGCGCAAGCACAGATTGTCACTCTGCTAAACAAATAATTCCCGCAACACTGTCAAACTATTTACTAAGTCTTCACTACTATTAATCTTTATTGAAAAAGTTTTCAAATACAAGTTTTCCCCCCTTTCCCCCCTTCTTCCCTAACCCCCCCTCACCACCCATCCCCCCCTGTGACTTCTTCTTCACAACAATAAGCTAATTCATAATTAATTACATAATATTTTACCATGCCCTTACTCACTCCTCAAAGTACTGACCCTTAGCATAATATTCTTATAACTCCGCTTTTCTCCGCTTTTCGCAATAATCTACCCTTTTTCTCCTCCCCCAAACTTATAAAATATTATTACAACAACATAACCTTTAATCTTTTATATATATTAATATAACATTTCAAAGCAGCCTTCTCCAAATTTAACATTTATTCAGTTCTATCCAATTCTTCCACTCCCCAAAATATATGACTTAAAAATCCTTTTTCTTAAACTAATCAATCACTAAACTAGCCTATTTCAACCCAGTTTCCTGCAAGATCACCATACACTACAATTCTAAATATAATCCACTGCCCACTCTACTAAAATATACATATGTCTATATATACATTCCATTTTATAAAAAGAGAAAAGACAATAACTTTAAATTTATAATTCATTTAGTATCTTCTTTGATGTCTTTCCACTAGATTGTTAAATCCATCATCCATAATAGGGTAACATAGCATCCTGGTGCAACAGTTTATTCAAAATCTTCAGTCATCTTCTGCCCCCATCAATAATGAATATCCTCATGTATATATAAAAGTAAAAACAACCACCCGAGTGACATTATAATTATATTCCATATAGTTGTAATTGTGGTTTTCATCAGGATTATAAATTCCCATCATCTTAGTGGGTAACAGCCAGATCTTCTGCATGCCCCAGCATGACTCTCTTGCCTTGTAACTCAAAATAGTTATAATATATTTATCGGTAAAAGAAATCCAAAATAGATAGTTCAAATCCAACAATGTAAGGCTCTTTCCACATCCCAAAATCACGGCATTGCAGAGATCTGCCACTTTCCTCAAGATAGTATTAAACAATAATTCGCCTCCAATATCTTTTCACATATTCATTTATTTTTTAAAATCCCTGGCTTCACTGTTGCTTGGTTTAGAAACTACTATTTCTACGAGATCTGTTTCTTTTCTTTTTCTTTTGCGGATTGCATTTCCATCCAGATTTCCTTCCTACAAATTGTGTATCAGCTGATCGGTTGTCATTCTGCTTTGTAAATTGATCTTGTTGGTTTTGTTTTATTATCTCATATGTCTTTTCCATCACTTGTATATCAACTGGTTGATTTACGCACTTGTCTGTAACTTGATAATTCATCACATTAGAATCAGATGACACTGCTCTCAAATTTATAGACAGTCCAGCTGGGGTATCCAAGAAGTCCGAAGACAGTTTATCTACCACAGCCTCTGTAATTTGATGTTTTCCCTTTATTTCCAACTCCTTTTGCTTGTCCTGTGTTATGCCTAAAGATGTTAAATTTATTTTTAAAATTTTTTGATAAAATTCTTCCGCTTTTTTGACAGAATTCAGTTGGTATCTTACTCCTTGGTGTCTCAATATTAAACCAACTGGGACATCCCACCTAAATAGAATATTCCTTTTTTTTAACTCATTCACTAGAAAACCAAATTTCTTCCTCTCCATTAACATCTTGGGCGGGAGTTCCTTAAAAATCCAAATCTTTCTTCCACGAAATTGCAAAGTAGAATCATAAGAATTCTGCACAATATTATTTCTAATTTCTTTGTCTGTAAAATAAATCACCACATCTCTAGGCAATTGCCTTTGTTTTGCCAACCAGGAGTTTATTCTATAAATTCTGTCAATCCTGCAAAACACTTCATCAGGTTGAACCTTTAAAATCCCAGCCAGAATTTCAGAAGATATCTTCCTTAAATCATCTCTGTCATTTTCCTGCAGACCTCTCAGTCTAATTGCATATTCTGTAAAATTGTGTTGGATCATTAAAACTTCTCTTTCAATCCTCTGTTGTACATTTTCTTCATTACCAGTCTTTTGATCAGCCTCCATTTTAAGTTTGTCTTCTGAACTATTATCCTGAGTGTTTGCCAAATCCTTTTTAATTTTTTGGATCTTGTCATCCAAATTCTCCTCAGTTTCTTTCATTTTAGACTCTAATAATTTAGTATTTGCTTCCAACTGAATCACAAAGTCTGCTAAGCCATTAGCTGTTTTTAAAATCTTTCGATCCAAAAAACCAAACTTAGATTTCACCAATTCACCAATTTCTTTATTTCCAACTTAAATTTTTCAAGTTGCTGATTCACAATCTCATCCCTTCTTACAATCTCCTCAAGAAGAAATTCTATTATATTAAAGTCAGGTTTCTGAGACTGGAGAGTTAAAACTTGTTGATGTAATTTATTAATGGGGGAGTCCCCCCCCACTGCCTGTTTGTCTAGCTTTATAAGTCTCAGTGCCATTTTTCCACGCAGACAAAATTTACTGGAAAAGAGAAAAAAAAGAACTTTTTTCCAACCAAGATCAATATCAGATCCCCAAGGAAAAAAAAAGGAAAAAAAAAACAGAAGTGAGAGTGAGGTTTTGCCTTCAGTTACAGCCAAAAGTATTCATTCCACTACTTTGTAATTGAAAACGGAAGGAGTTTCCCTTTCAGCCTCTCTTCAAGCCACAGCAGCAATCGCCATTTTAAAAAAAAATTTTTTCCCTTCACTTCACTTCTTAGGCAAAATAGAATAAAAAGAATACTTGCGCTTCAGGATCAGAGGTCCAGCTCATATCTTCTTTAATTAATTTATTTGACAGATTTACAGGCTTGCTTCTGCCCCCTAGCTCTGCGTGTAGCAGAGATTTCCCAGAGCCCGGAGCATCGGCTGGGGATACGGGGAGTCTCTTCCGCTCCCTCCCAAAAGTGAATAAAAAACTTTTGGGATTAGGCAGAGGACTCTACCCACCCCAGCCGGCTCTATCTCCGTTTCCTAATGGAAACGGAGTTTTTTCGAGCCGCCATTCCGCTGAAAAAGGCGGCTCTTACAGGCAGTGGGTTCGACGATCCCGAAGGAGTGTCCAGCGGGGACAAGCAGCAAACCGGAAGTCACTACTATTAATCTTCTCATTGTTCCTACCACCCATCTCCTTCCACTTATGACTGTATGATTGTAATTTTGTTGCTTGTATCCTTATGATTTATATTGATATTGTTTTTTTACCCTATGACTATCATTAAGTGTTGTACCTTATGATTCTTGATGAATTCATCTTTTCTTTTATGTACACTGAGAGCATATGCACCAAGACAAATTCCTTGTGTGTCCAATCACACTTGGGCAATAAAAAATTCTATTCTATTCTATTCTATTCTATTCTATTCTATTCTATTCTATTCTATTCTATTCTATTCTATCCTATCCTATCCTATCCTATCCTATCCTATCCTATCCTATCCTATCCTATCCTATCCTATCCTATCCAATCCAATCCAATCCAATCCTATCCTATTTAGTAACCACTTGGTTTTAATAATGATTAGGCTTTATAGGAGGCTGGATCCATACAATGTGTTAGATGATATTTATTATCATCTAACCATTGTTATAACCATTGTTATTTAAATGATTGCTATTTCAATAAAAATAAACTTAATTAACTTAAAAAAAACTGTAGCCCTCTTTACAAGTTAGTGAGATGCAGAAGAGCCACAGAATGCAAAAAAGTAAGGTGAGAGTCATGATTACACAGGCAAAGCCTTACTTTGTTTTTACTTCGAGACCATCTTCTGCCACCAATAGCCTCCAACCGACCAGTCCGTTCCCACAGAGAGGGTCTCCTCAGGGTGCCATCAGCCAAGTTATGTCGGCTGGCAACGCCCAGGGGGAGGGCCTTCTCTGTGGGAGCCCCAGCCCTGTGGAATGAACTGCCCCCGGAAATACATAAGATCTCCGACCTCCGGGTGTTTCGCTGCGCACTGAAGACCCTGTTGTTCCGCCAGGCAGGGCTATCAACATAATAATTTTAAATTGGGGTATTTTAATTTTTGGGGTTTTAAATCGGCCAAATCTATTTAATTATTTTAATTTTTAATTATTGTTGTGTCCTGTGTTTTTAAATTGGCTGTACACCACCCTGAGTCCTTCGGGAGAAGGGCGGTATAGAAA